ACGGATTTTTCTGATAAGATTGAACAAATAAATTTCTAGAAATCCCAATTGCAATTAATTATTTTAAAAATCAAGCAATAAATATTATGGTCCAGCTAACTATCGCATATACAAACGTTCTACTCGTTTCTTGAAACTACTATATAATTTCGATGGCACCATCGTGATAACATTGTTTGCTCTATCAACAATTATAACCAGCGCTTTTACGTAACTGAATAATTGAAACCGGCGCTTCGGCAATCGGCCATCTCAGTTTCTATTGACGCGTTAATACGTATATATATTATTAAGAAATAATTGCGTGAAAAAAAATTGGAAAAAAAAAATAAAGAAACACAAATTGACGAAAGATTGGGGCCACGTGAAATAGCGCCGTGTATAATTGTTCACTAAGGTAATAGGTAGTAGTCAAATCAACTAGCGATAGCGTAAACAAGTGACGCAATAGATACGTCGGTGCAAAACAGCGACCCTGCTTACAAAATCGTGCCAACGCACGAAATGAGATTTAGATTTCCTTCGAGTCTCCTAGCGACCTTCGATATCGGTAACCGCTCGGCTTGGTTTTGCGGCCTTCAAGAGTATCGCGTTCAAGTTTGCGTTTCCTATAAAGCTCAGCTCTTCATACCTGCCCTCAGCCTCGCTCGCGCTAACTCATACTTCTGCCGGCTTGCTCCATTTTCGAATATTCCGCGCCTTTGTCTCGTTAAGAGGCTGAGTCTAGCTAAAACTAAAACTCGATAAAACGATTTATGTAGGTACTCAGTATTAATACTGAGTAATCATCAATTAATACTGAGTAATCATCAATATTGCTTCAAATTTAATTCAGATGCTTTTCAAAGATGCTACCTGTAGATACATTTATTATCGCGAGATTACGTTATTCATAAAAACGGAATGTTTTCTTGCATAATTTTGTTATCTTGTACTTTTCCATCGGATAAATTAAATGAAAATGTATACAGAGAATTTTCTATGCCGTCTTATTTTATATTTCACGTTTACTATTGACGGGAATGAAGTTAGATTCTTGCGAGGGCGAATCTCCATTACGTTCGCAAGCAGAAAAGTTTTCGCAGTGTAGCTAATAAAATGTTACGCGGGCGCGCTGCTTCGTGATTCTACTTAATGACTCGATCACGGTAGTTTTCCGAAATAGATGTAGAAACGCGCCTAATTGTACTTGAAGAGTACAATTGTATCCGAAGAATCGCGAAATTATCCGGAACTTTAACTTTAACCCAGAAAGTTTTCGTACTTTCCAAGTGTACTTTTGTGACCAAGTCCGGCGATTCTTCTTGGCGTCGCTCCAAGTTCCGTGATCACCGTGTATTATTATCGGAAGTATTGTTAGCTGAGGTTTAAGAGGGCAGCTAGAACATTGTCAGCGGACACGTACCGGCGAGTGCCGCCATCCTCTTCAGAAAGAATATCGGATTTTGCCTCTTTACTTTTCTCCCACCCTTTTTCCCACACTTTTATTTCGTTTAGACAGAGTATAAGTTTTTCATTAAGGTATTTTCAAAGTCAAGTATAACAGTAGTATATAAAATGTCATGCAGGCAACGCACGTAACTTTGGCAGATATTGATATAAATCGCTTGATATTGGGACATGGCTCTTCAAATAGCGCAGCATTTATAATACATATGTCGCGATAAACACACGCCATTTATACTAATTGCGCATCAATGTCAGAATGATAAAAATATCCGGTTGGACCAAGAAAGAATTACGCAAGAATTTCGTTCGATGTAGCCTATTCCTTACCGTTTTTAATCCGCGAGCATATTACCGCGACGGTAACTTTAATAATAAATTTCTTGTTAAGTCCAGAGCTAATTTTTCCTTCGGGACAAAGTAGCGGGAAAATTCGTGTCCTTAAGTGTACTTAAGTGTAGGAAGTTTCATCGTAATTGTATGCTAAGGATCCACAGGATGTATTCGAGGTTAGAGATAGATGTAACGGTTTCCCAGTCGCTTTTGTACTTCTATATTTAGCAACGTGAACATTATGTGAACGATTATACCTTCGTACATCCGTTAACCGGTGCCTAGACGAGTTACTCGACCAGTTGAATAAAAATTTGAGATTCATTCGGCATGGTTTAAATACACGTTTACGATCTATATTTGAAATATGGATCGTTTTAGAAAGTTTCGAGTTGACCTTTTGCTATTCCATATGACACAGTTCGTAACATGTAATATTTTCAACAAGAATTATTACAAGTACTCGTATCGATACTTTTGCACCGTTAATCTTTTGACAATAATGAAAAATAAATAAATAATACGTAATATTAAAGCCATCTGAGGAATTCTACTGTGATTAATCTTACCATAAAAATTGTGTCGCGGTAGGAACGATCGCATTCCCCGGATAGGTACTTGGAGTCTAGATTATTCAAGAACTGGGTATCGAAAAAGCCGCCAACATCGACATTGTTCAGACGCCTCTGAATTATTACGACGTATTCCCGTTAATAAAACAACGGTTTGTTACAAACGCGGCGCGTGGCTTCGCGACACCTTACTCGAAATTTAAATTTTTATGGAGAAAATATCATCCACCGAATGACATCTCGACGCGATTGTTGAATGCATTTTCTTTCTTTAATACTCTCGTTCTACACATAACGTTACTCCGCGGAGCTATTTTATTTAAATGATGCAGAATCTGTTTTAGCCTAACAATGTTCATATCCCTGCGGTCACAGTGATATTAAATGTGACTTTTTTAGCCACGTGACATCGTTGCTTGCCGATTGTATTGGTTGGATAAAAACGACGCGAAGCGAAGCGATGCAGGGTCAAGTGTCTGCTCCAGCCACTTTATAACATAATTATTGATTATCCGAGATATCTCTCGTACAAGAATGCGCGCGGACGAGGAAGGAAGGGGGAGAAAGAGAGAAGCCCCCGAAGTTATGGGAGGACGATCGAAACTTTGGTACGATCGAACTTTCGTACACTGGAAACGGATCAAGTCCGTCTGACTCTGGCGGGCAACAATTCAAGCGAAACTCTTGTCTACTGCGCGAGATAAATCTGTCATTCACACAACAGCAGTATGCAAAATCTACGACAGAAACGCACACGGTGCAATCAGGGATTTAACTGCGAGCGTCGCGATACGAGTTCTTTTGAGGATCGCCCGATTAGCGCTTTTCCTACTGCGTTCGTGCGAATGCGAATTCAACGTAAGTTATTTTAGGTTAGTTATTTTTAAGGACACCATTCGAAAAAAATACATGTTGCAACGTCAAGTAACGCTTATTGAAATTTATGAAGAAGAACAAGCATTTTGTATTACTTTTTCCAAAATTTTAGTCAGTTGGATTATGTTTGAAATATAAACATAATCGAACATATTAAGAAATCTGAAGATTTTAAGAAGAGATTCTGAAAACACTGAAATTGTAAAACTTTTTTTATTATGATGCGTAAAATTTGAAAAAAATGTGTTTGTTATCGATCATTTTATAGTATTTAAATAGTATTATAATAGAATTTTAATATTTTTCATCAATAAAAACATTCACGTTTTACTATATTATTACTATATATTATTACTATATTTTACTATATTACTATATTACTATATTTTATATTTTACTATATTACTATATTACTATATTTATATTTTACTATATTATATCAATTTTTATTGAAATAATAATATCTGATTTTTATAACATATCTTATTTTAACATTAAATGAGTTCTTATTCATATAGATTGTTGTGTCAGTATGCACAATCTCAAGAATGATTTGACATAATTCTCGGAAAATTCTCCATCTTCCTTGATACAGAAGGCACATGGCTAATATATGCATGGTTATTAATGGTTACCTAAGATATGCGATAATTGATTATGAGAAATCGAGGTCCGACACGGGACGGGTTAGATTCTGGTTAATTAACAGTGCAAGACTACAAACTAAAGGATTTAATCGAATTACGAAAATCTCATAATCGTATCGATTACGCCGTGCTTTAAATAATATAACATTATCTATATTTGGAGCTAGATCGATCGAAACGCTAGTCCAACGAACCAGACTTCCTCAAACGCGTTGATAAAACCTTTTACGACGCTCGTCTTCCCTCTTTCTTCTTCTTTTTTTTTTGCTATATTCTACGGTGTTTCGTGAATATACGCGGGTTACTACAGGTTACAGAGGTCGTTTCTTCGTGCTCCGGTAATATAGCACGTCGCGATCCGAGCGCAATATTCGAAGCGTTTCAAAACGGAAATGATGCCAGATTTAACTCTAAATAGTTCAAGCACGGTCCATGACCTATGAGTATTAGGTCCTGTGAAATATCTAACGCGTTAATATTATTTCGCAAAGCTATATATCTCACGCTAAATCTCTTTATCATAAATTATATTTAAATTTATATTTTCTATTAATTGTGAAAATCATATGGAAATTAATTATTTTTAAAACATGCTTTTCTTATCGTGTGTCATTTTTTTTCAAGATATTTATGGTTGCGATTAAGCAAGAGAATATTTATAGTGTTCTTGAAGACTTACGCAAAATGATATTCAAATATCTTTTATGATTAATTTCGAATAAAATACGTGACGTCATACGAGGATATTTATGGGTTTCAGTAATTTAAATGTGATCGCACGATCAATAAGCGATTCACGTAGATGTTGTCGATGTTCGAAACGGGCCATCACCAAAAGCAACTAAAGACCTTCAAAGTTGATCTATGTTGTTCAGTAGATATAAAAAAAAGTCAGGAACGCTTAATCACTCTGTCACTTCTTATTATTAATGCGTCGATCATGTTGAAAAATAACAATTTACTCAGATGAAAATGTCGTGTTGCGCCTGTTAGGAAAAACCTGCACGATGAGTCACGAGATCTCGCGTTTGTTCCAGCGATTTCGAGATAAATCGTTACGAGATGAAGGTCGCGGTCGAGACTGCGATCTTTTCGTCGTCGTGAAAACTCCGATGGAGACGCGTACCTGGTATGGGCGCATTGAGAAAAGCCTGATTTCTCGCAACGAGAAACGAAACGATGACGAAGAGGCACCACGCGAGGACAATCATCCTGGATCGAAGGAGCAGAGATCGCTGAGCAGTATCGATACGTCCCGCTCGATCTGCCTGTCGAATTGCCTGGCCGATTCGTGGACCACGTTGACACGTCGTGTACACGACGGTTCTTACCCGCGACGGACGTGAGACCCGCGCGACGTTATTTACGCGCGCGCGGCAACAAACGCGGAAGAAAAGCGAAAAAGTAAAAATAATAACAGGGGCACGGTTTCTCTTGTTTGAAAAGTTGAACGAACACGCTTTTCCACTCTTTCTCCCGTGCGTTCGACGGCTTTCTCGGTGCGCCACGCGGACGACTCGGCTTCACCGACTTCTCCGACCGGTTAGCCAGCAGTGAACTGCTCGTGTTCCTGCCTCGGGTATCGTAATATACATAAAGTCGCCAGATAAGCCGCGGCTGACACCCCACCACGGACGCGCCTCGTTGTGGGACGGCCCGTTCCTGCTCGTTCTCCGATGCGCGCTGCTGAAGAGAGTTTGAAATCCTCGCCTCTCGACGTGAAGCACAACGTGGTCCCGCTCGTTTCTCCTCACCCCCTCCCTCCCAGCCCGCCCGCCCTCCTTCCTCTATGGAACGATAGGTGTCACGATGCTTGCGATCGTTGTGTAATTCTTCATTGTGTGATACAATTAGCATTCGTTATATACTTGACGATTAATAGACTGGAGTAATGATAATTTGTGATAATTTAAATTTCTTCTTTTATACATCTCTTTTATACATCTCTTTTATACAGAATTGTTTTTTTAATGTTTAAATGGATAATTTTAATTTTCGTTACAAGTATTACGTGACGAAATAATAAGTAATCGATTTTTAATCAGTTTTTACTGTCAATTAACATATTTTTCATAGATTCTTAAGTGTCTCTTTTTGAAATGTAAAATGTGTAAAGTAAGGAGCGGTCTACCGAAGGCCACGTATAAGTTCAAATATAACCAATGGCGTAGAGATGTTCATCTAAGATGATCTAAGATCAATTATTACTATGCCTATTAATGAGAAACATCTAGAGATAGTAATAATTGACAAGAATTGATCGATTGTCAAGTGGTGAAGAAAAAGTCAATAATACTATTATGTCAATAATACTCGAAATGTATGAAAAGTGGCAGTGAGTTTCCCCTTCACGTATACTGTGAAAATATTAACATTGGCGATCTTAAAATATTAACATTACTTAATAATTAATTAATGATAGATCAAGATGAAATAGATCAAAGATCAAAAAGCTGTATTATTGCACACAATATAATTGCTACATAGTTGCAATCATATTGTGTGCAATAATAATAGAACTTTTCACATTCGCTGAATCCCGCGGCACTGCACGTTTTCGGAGGAACGCGAAGACGCAGTGCCGCGGGATTCGATCTTTCGTTGAACGTGCGAACGTCGTCTGAAATCCTCTTTCTCCGAGCTCTACCGACATCTCCGTAAGCCTTCTCTTCCTCATTCACGTATGCGCCTGCTCTTCGAATCGCGTGTCAGATAACATATATTTCTTTACGATTGAAAAAATTCATCGGAGATGGTTCACGAGTCGTGTTTTTCGTTTGCGGCTACACTTTCACGCATTTCACACGCAAAATGACGCAAAAGCGAGAGATAAGAGATATTTATAACTTCATAAAGTTATCGGAATTATGAATATTTGCCTTTTTCTCCCTTTTATGTGCATTATGTGTAGAATTAGTAGAAAGATATACAGAAACTTATGCGGCAATTATAATAACTTCAACGAAAATTTCTTATATTGCCTCAATACGAAAATAGCAAAAGCTACGAATCCTCACTGAAGTGAAATTATTGATCGACAGTGGTTTCACAGGGATTTCCTTCTAGGAATAAATGTGCATGTTCACTTTTGATGGAAGCTAATAATAAAGATGTGCGAAACTAATAATAAATTCTTTAATTTTCTCGATAAGATTCTAACAGATATGTCACACGTTTCAGAAGTAATGATTAATAATTGATAATCATTGACGATGATAATGTTAATCATGTTGTGTTTTACAGATAAAAGAATCATCTGATCATGATGATGAAAATTCTTCATCCGTCACGAAATGATAAGTGTCGTGGAAGAAAATGTGAAAATTCAAAGGAAATTGCATCAATTTTCCTCCGGAAAAGATCGCCTCAATAATAACGATGTGAACGTTACATTATCGCGTCGTCCACACAGATGTAGCACTGTAATGTAAAATGTAAAATTAATCGGATATTTTTACCACTTTCGAAACCCGTTCCGCTAGTGACCGTGCCAATCCGGCCGCGAATAATCGTGACGATCGGCTAAAAATATCAATGTGATATTGATACGCGTGGCATTCTTCCGTGTCATCGTCCATCCACGCGATAAGGCATTGTAAACAATTTCTCCTGCAACGGCCTTAAAATTGAAATAAGACCTTGGATGAGCATATATATCTTTGATGTGATCTTATCTGTCTCATCTTAGACTTCATTGAGGTCATCGTCCTGCTGTGACACTCGATGTGAGACACGAGATGTGAGATGCATACATAATGAGAAATATAAGATTCAAGCCAGTTTTATGTAATATTAATAGAGCTTTATATATATATTCTTTGTTTTTCTCTTTTAAGAGTCTCTTTACTTTGCTTTTATACCTTATTCTGTCTCATTGATTCACGTCTGTGAAAAGACTGATTATAATTTTGATGCTTTGAGATCTCTGATATCTTTAGAAGCACATCGATCGGAAACACTTAAATTTTCCACTAAATAGACCTTGACGATAGATGCACATCCTCATTGTTGTGGCTCTTATGTCATTGTTGTATTACTTATTGTGATGTCATCGCTGATCTAATGCCATGGCCAAGACCCGTTGAGAACGATGCAAGGAGGATTGATGGAATGTGCGCATTTTTGAAGTATACCGGAAAAATAAGAGATTCAACATATAAAGAGATTCCTATATTTTCGTAAACGTCAATGGATATCTCAGAAATTGTCCGAAAAGCGTTTAACGCAAACATTACATACTTTTCAACTAATGGCAGCGTCGTTGTTATAGAAGGTAAAGAAATATAGTGCGGAAAACATATATTGTGTCAAGAATTATACAACTGAACAGCTCAATTATACTTAATGTTCGCTGTAATCGTTTTAACTCGGTCATTTTTTTTCGAACTTTAACGATTGATCGACATTTCACGCGATAACATTTCACGCGATCGCCATTAAATCATCAATCGTATTTTATGTATGACATTAAGAATTTACATATTTAATAAATATTGAACGATATTTTTATTTCTCTGCATAAATATCTTTTTTACAATTTATATCTTTTTTTTAATAATTTTGTTGATCTTTTAAAAACATCCAATTTTTATGATTCATTGATTTTTTTCCAATTAATTTTATGCGATGTAGAGCCGTTTCTATACCGGTTTCTGTCATTTTGAATATGTGATGATTCTCGTTTGACTGGTTTGCAAGGACTTTAATTTATCGATCAATACAATCACGTGCTTTGATATCATGAGATCTCTGCACTCTTATTCTTATCTTTAAATGTCAAATTGTTGACAATAATATAGATGATAACAGAATTTACATATATAATAATTTGGATAATTTCGATGAAATGATAAGTCATAATAAAATGTAATATTTTAAAAATATATAAATATTGTTCTAGTAGATTGCCATTTATTGATTAAGAAATATTTATAATAAATAGTAATTATATAAAAGAAATCTAATCTTTTTTTATACAAGTGCAATCGAAAGAAAAAATTATCATTCTCTTTTAATTTAAAAAATCCATTTTCAAGATTATCATCTTGTAATTAATTCGAGATATAGATCCAAAAGTAGATAATTAATTTTGCATGGAGACTTTGGGATTCAGATAAACAGACGAGATAGATTTTATATATAGAAGACGGTAATTCCTGTCCTCTAATAAATGATGAAAGTAAAAATTAAATCATCGATCGAAATAATTGACTGTGTGTTACGTATGATTATATCATGTGCGGAACTTTGATCCAAGTGTTTTTTGAATTTTCATTTTTCAATCGCGCGTTTAACCGGCCGCAAATCCAAGTGTCACCGCATGCTGGCAAATCACTGCCACTGAATTAGCATAATCCTTCCGTCTCTGCATGTATGTGTAACACATTACAGTTGCGTCCGTACGCGCTAATTCCTAGTCGAGTATTTCCGTTACAAGCCGGGACTTAACATTTCATACACCTTATCGTAACAGCAGAAACACACACTGTGAATATAAGCTGCTGCGCATAAAACACAATAAACAATATATTCTTGTATGTAATAATAATTCCTGGAATTGCGTATATAAAAACACGTCAAGCAAACGCATTGTTCATGCAGTTCCACGTGCATCGGTATTTTCAACTTATGGCATGCGGCTACTTGTTGCTATTCCCAGCAGGCGACGGCTGGATTGACATATATTATTGCTTACGCATACGACACGAGACATGCATCATTAAATTGATTCTTCTGAGCTTTATCAACTTGTTGACGAGGAGAATCTACGCTAAATTTGCAATCGTTGTATATAATGAAATAAATAAAAAGAATTAATCGCAGATTTGAGAGGAAGCGAAATAGTTTTGATAATTATAATTACACAATTATGTAGACTTCATACCAAATAGATATAATAATTATTATTTTCTAATTTAGATAAATATTTTTTTTAAATAAGCATGATGCCATAATATTATTATTGAGATAACTTTAAAAAAATACATTTCGATAACAACATACTAACAACACACTAATATTTATCTAACGATTTACTACAAATGATTAATATTATATTATATTACTATTTTTTTAATAATATTTATTTATTGTTCTTATTAGAACTTTATGATAGTTGAGACTTATTCATTCTCAAATTTCTAATTATTAATACGATTTTTTTTTCTGAATGCGATAGTAAAAAAACGAAATATTCTCTTTCCGTTAAATAATGAAAAATTTTGATATTTTTAAGATAAGAAATAAATGAATTTTTTTTTAAAGTGAACAACGGATATTTTTCGTTTATTATGTAACTATATAAGAGAAAAAAAATTTAAAGCTGTTCTCCAAATAATTTTTAACTGTCTAAGCGACCAATCTGGAGAAATACGTCAAAGTCATACAACGACCTGCGTAATCGGCGGTCTCTCTCTCTCTCTCTCTCTCTCTCTCTCTCTCTCTCTCTTTCCTCTGGACGATTTCCCTTTTTTTCCCTTCATCCTTTCATAATTCTTCCCTCCTTCATGCGGCATTACGCGAGTGTCACGCGTCGAGGCTAACTTATGCGATACTTGACATAGAGCTACCGGCGATAACGAGCTACCTGGAACGAGACTAACAAGCATCTCATATTTTGTATGGTGTATCCCGCGATGTTAACGTAGTGAGCGATACGTCCGCGAT